ACCAGGGAAGCCCCATCTAGATACTTTTAGACAGCAATACAGGCTCCTTATTTTGGTTTACAATAGTCATTGGAGAAATGTGGTTTTTCTGTCCTACTAAGATCAATTTATCTTTTTAATTTTTCTTAAGGCAATGCAGAATCTTCTTTTTGAGTTTCCTGGATCCCTTACTTTTTTCTTTTCTTTCTTTCTTTCTTTTTTTTTTTTTTGGTCTGCTCTGGGTGGTGTGTGGCATCTCATTAGTTCCCCCATCAGGGCTCGAACCCATGCTCCCTGCAGTGGAAGCACAGAGTCTTAACCACTGGACCGTCAGGAAAGTCCATCCCTTACTTTTTAAAAAAAACTAATTAATTAATCTTATTTTTGGCTGCATTGGGTCTTCATTGCTGTGCGCGTGGTCTTTTCTCTGGTTGCAGCGAGCGGGGGCTACTCTTCGTTGCCATGCGAGGGCTTCTCATTGCAGTGGCTTCTCGTTGCAGAGCAAGGGCTCTAGGCGCATGGGCTTCAGTAGTTGCGGCACGTGGGCTCAGTAGTTGTGGCTCACAGGCTTTATTGCTCTGCGGCATGTGGAATCTTCCTGCACCGGGGCTCGAACCCGTGTCCCCTGCGTTGGCAGGCACATTCTTAACCACTGCACCACCAGGGAAGCCCCATCCCTTACTTTTTTAATGTGAGGAAATTGCCAGTGTTTACAGATTTATCGATTTTTATGTGCTTTTAAGTTTTGGTTTATAGGTTTCAGGAAGTAACACTGAAGTTTACCAAAAAATTTTTAAGGAAAAGTTTTCCTTGAGGTTCTCCTAATGGAAAAATAAAGGACATAGTAGGAACATAATTTACTGGCTTTGGTCTTGATTATTTTTACAGGATAGAGCAGAAGCATAGATAGGTTAAAAAAATGTGCTCCATTGCCGTTAGATTAAAATGTTGTGTGATGACTCACTGTCACTTAAAACTTAAATAAATATTTTCTATCTACATTGTCAACTTTGTAACCCGTAAAAGAATTAGTAACAGTTGTGATTATTTATCACAAATGAGATACTTCTTAAATTAAAAAAAAAGCGTTTATGTGAATGTTCTTCTAGTAGACTCATGTTCAGTTTCTAGAGTTACAGCATCTTTCAACGGTTAAAAAGAGACCGAACTGAATAGTTAAATATATAAAATTGGAAATTCCAAAGCAAATGCTAACTTCCAGAAATTATGCAGCAGCATCAGTCAAGACTGACCAAATAACTGCTTCCATTCTTTCTGGGGGGAAAAGCTGTGACTTTTTCTAGAGCCGATGTTGACTTTGGCCTCTAGCATTTATTTGTGGAGTGTGTTTAAAAGTGGTGAATAGGGCTTCCCTGGTGGCGCAGTGGTTGAGAGTCTGCCTGCCGATGCAGGGGACACGGGTTCGTGCCCCGGTCCGGGAAGATCCCACATGCCGCGGAGCGGCTGGGCCCGTGAGCCATGGCCGCTGAGCTTGCACGTCCGGAGCCTGTGCTCCGCGGGAGAGGCCACAACAGTGAGAGGCCCGTGTACCGCAAAACAAAACAAAACAAAACAAAAAAAGTGGTGAATAAATACACTAATGGGAGGTAAATAACCTTTTCTTTTTATCTGTTTTTTAAAATTAAGTAAACATTTAAATCAAAGGTTGGACATGTACTTATTTAAAAAGTCAGAATTTTATACTTTACTAATTTTCTTATAGAATACAGCTTTTTAGCAAATGATGATTGGTAATAAAATTTCATTTATTATCAGGTGATGCCAGTACCTTGAATTCCTTTACAGTTAAACCTTTCAAAAGATGAAGCCTCAGCTGAAGGTGGAGTTTCAGGAAAAGAAATTTTGGAGCATTTAAAACACAGTTGGTGGTATTTATAGTGATGGCTTTGTTCCTCATATATATAGGAGAGACTTAGGACAGGGTCTCGAAGTGAAACTGTGATATTTTAACATAACAGTTAAAACTTTTAGAGCTTCTTATCTTTGACATTAAGAGGCAATAACTATTAACATTTTTACACAGCAACATTTGTAATTTTTAAAAGCGATTCACTTATCATGGCCTTAGGGCCCACCCTCTTCCTCAGCTACCACATGCAGCCCCTGGCCAAGCCATACTTGTTCTGCCCCACGTCTTGGTAGCCCTTGGAGTGGCCCACTTTTCTGCACCCTGAAACCCCCTCCGTGGTCCAGGCCACCAGGGCTGGTTCCTGGAACACAGTGGCAGCTGCTTCCTTGTTTTCAGCCTCCAGTTTCAGCTTCTTTGGTCCTCTTTCCACACTGTCATCAGAGGCTTCTTCTGAAAATGCAAATCTAATGGTTTCTCGGCAACAAAAATCTTCTGTTACTTCCCAAGTAGCATCGAGTTCCAGGCCCTTAAGGAGAAGAGAGGACAACTTCTTCAGACTTCCCTCTGCCACTTCCCCCTTCTTTCTTCGTCCTTCAGTTTTACTGGGCTTCTTGTAGTCTGGGTCTCACCACGTGCTGTTGCGTTTGCCTAGAATGTTCCTCCTTGCTGTGTCCCCACTCATCAGTCTCAATGACATTGCTGCCGCCTCTGCCCCCAAGACTAGGTTAGATCCCTTTGCTGTACATCTCCAGAGCATCTTTAGTAACACTTATCACGCCTATAATTTTATGTAATGACTGCATTTTTCATTTTTTAGTTTAATAACTGCATAAGTTCCATGAGATCTTGTTCATTGCAGTGTCTTTAGCACCTAGTGTACTTCTGGCATAGCACCCAATTTGTTGGTATAGATTGAAATTGCATTAATGCTCACAATAGTTTGGTGATGGAGTTGGTAGTTTTGCATCCATCTTACAGTTGAGAAAACGGAGGCATGAGGAAGTTGAAACTTAAACAATTCCGGGCAGTAAGTGGTAGAGTTGGCTATGGGTCGCACATCCGGTACAGTGACTTCAGATATGTCAGACTCCTACTCATTCAGGGTTTTTTTTTCTTTCTTTCTTTTTTTTTTTTTTACTGTTCTAAGCTTTTAACAAAATGTATGGCCAATGAGTCATTTCTGTTTAGAAAGCCTTTAGGAGTTGGACGCTAGCTCCTGATGATGTCATGTTTGACTCTGAGGTCTTTGGGGTGAGGGAGTTCCAGCTTTTGTTAAGCCTTGATAATGTTATGAGTGCAACAAGTATTGGCAAGACTGCCTGGGCCTGTAATCTGCTCTTGTTGAGAGGTTTTTGCTAAGAGTGCAAGGAAAATAGAAAAGCACTTAACTTCTTTATTGTGAGTCCTAATTTATGGTAGTAGTTGAGATTGAACAACAAAATCTTACGACTCAGAACTCCAGTGTATCTCGTGGCCTTGGTGAGCCGACAGAGGGCAGCAGGGAGATGGCCCCGGGTAAGGAACATTTATTTGGTGAGCTCTTGGGAGGCCAGGGACTCAGAAGCCCCTGAAGCCACCCTGTGAATGTTGTAAAATTTAGAGAATGTGTGTTGGCTACTGGTGCAGTGATCGTCTTAATTTTTAGGTGATACCCCCCTGAAAAATTTTTCAAGTGGCTGGGAGACTTTCATCACCGCCCTAGCACACTGTATCTGCTTCCAGTTGTGCGGGAGGCCCTCCTGTCTCGGGAGTATTTCTACACTCTTCTCTGTTACTTCTCCTCTTTGCAGCTGTTTGGGAAGTTTACTCCAGCGTCCCTGAGCCATTAATTAATATGTCTGGAACGTAATGTGTTAGCTGCTCTAAAAGTTTATGGTGGGGCTTCCCTGGTGGCACAGTGGTGGTGAGTCTGCCTGCCGATGCAGGGGACACGGGTTTGTGCCCCGGTCCGGGAAGATCCCACATGCTGCGGAGTGGCTGGGCCCGTGAGCCATGGCCGCTGAGCCTGCGTGTCCGGAGCCTGTGCTCTGCAACGGGAGAGGCCCACGTACCAGGGGAAAAAAAAGTTTATGGTGGATGTGAGGATGTGGCAAGGTGGCACATGAATGCAGATGAATTAAAGTGAGAGCAGTTGTGTGTGGTGCTTGGTAACTAAGCACTCTCTTTAGAGAACAGCTGTCACTGATGGCCAGAGGGAAGGCTTTAGGAAGGTGGTGGGATTTGAGCTGCCACTCGGAGGCAGCAAAGTATATTACTTAGCAACAAAATGGAAGCTGGAGAGGAAAGCCATGTTTGCATATTAGTATTCATCAAAATAATTTGAGGATAGATTTGCAGATTCTTGGATGAAAGCCTTCTAGAGATCTTCACAGAAGAGACTTTCAGTTTAAAAATACTTTTCCTGGGGACATCCCTCGTGGTGCAGTGGTTAAGAATCTGCCTGCCAATGCAGGGGACACGGGTTCAATCCCTGGTCCGGGAAGATCCCACGTGCTGCGGAGCAACTAAGCCCATGTGCCACAACTACTGAAGCCCACGTGCCTGGAGCCCGTGCTCCGCAACAAGAGAAGTCACCAACATGCCCATGCACTGCAACGAAGGGTAGCCCCCGCTCGCCACAACTAGAGAAAGCCTGTGCGCAGCAACGAAGACCCAACACAGCCAAAAATAAATTAAAAAAAAAAAAAAAGTAACAAATGTTCAAGTACAATTGGTGTCTTAAAAAAAAATAATCTAACATAATAATCTAATGTAATAATCTAACGTAAAGTTTCTGCACAGTGATGAAGCACACAGCTTTCCTAATTGGTTTTTAGATGTTCAGGAAGTGAAAGTTTAAACCAACTCTGAAGTACAGAGACTGGATAATATAAGAGTTTCGGATAAGTTTGGCTTTCTGGGCTCTAATACCTAAAGCCAAAACAGTGTGAAGCCTCTGGACTCTGCCTTTCTGAGTAGTTCTAGTTTGTATACTTTAAATTTCAGGATAAAACTATGTGTAGTGTTAAATAAAAGGTTATAGAAACTGTTTAGGGCTAAGTACTTGATGTATACTTCTTGATTTTTCTATAAATTATTTTCACCGAATAATGAAATCTAAGACTGCATTCATGTTGACTAAGCAACTTACACCATTTTTTTCTCTCTTTAGAGCTGTAGGTAAAACTTGCCTCCTGATCAGTTATACGACCAATGCCTTTCCTGGAGAGTATATCCCCACTGTGTAAGTATCCTGAGTTAAACTGGAAATTAACTTGTCTGTGATATGTTGCTTTGGATTCTGTTGACCTTTGTTCTGCTCTTTCTTAATCCTTATGCAAACGTGATTAATTTTCCTTTCAGTCACTGAGGTCTCATTATAAGGTATTTGGACTTTTAAAAAATAATCTGGGGGCTTCCCTGGTGGAGCAGTGGTTGAGAATCTGCCTGCTAATGCAGGGGACATGGGTTCGAGCCCTGGTCCGGGAAGATCCCACATGCCGCGGAGCAACTAGGCCCGTGAGCCACAACTACTGAGCCTGCGCATCTGGAGCCTGTGCTCTGCAACGAGAGGCCGCGATAGTGAGAGGCCCGCGCACTGCAATGAAGAGTGGCCCCCGCTTGCCACAACTAGAGAAAGCCCTCGCACAGAAACAAAGACCCAACACAGCCAAAAATAAATTTAAAAAAAAAGTAACAAATGTTCAAGTACAATTGGTGTCTTTAAAAAAAAATAATAATAATCTAACGTAAAGTTTCTGCACAGTGATGAAGCACACAGCTTTCCTAATTGGTTTTTAGATGTTCAGGAAGTGAAAGTTTAAACCAATTCTGAAGTACAGAGACTGGATAATATAAGAGTTCGGATAAGTTTGGCTTTCTGGGCTCTTTGTGTGAAGGGTCAAGGAACTGGAACAAAATACTCCATTATGTTTTAATTGGCCTTTTCTGGCGAGTAATTCAACGGTTACATGTCACTGTTGAGTTATTGGGCTTTGGAATTGAAACCAGGGTGTGTGTGTGTGGTGGGGTGTAGAGTGGGAGGACGGACGGGAGGACGGAATCAGCTACTGAGCTGCTTATTCCCTGTTGGCAGCAGAACTGGGCGGGCATGGAAAAGTGCTTTTCTGATGGTGGGGTTACCAGGGAGCCTCGTAACGCACCGCCCTGCTGCCGGGAGCTCTGTCCTCATGGCTGCGGTGCTGGTGGAGAGGAAACGCCTCACTTCCCACTGTGCTCACCCCCTCAGTCACAACAGGCACATCTCGGTGTCCTGTGTGTGTTTTAATATAAGTGGGATCACACTGTTCTGAATTTATGGTGGGGACTTTCTTAATCTCCACATGTAGCTAGAGCTAAATCATTAACAGCTGTTACTGACTGAAGTGCTGTAGCGGACTTAACCACTGGTCACTTGGCATTGCAGACAGGGCTGGCTGCATGTCATTGCACGTGTCTGTGCACATGTGACAGATAATTAGAGGGACTGTGGCAAAGCAAAGGAGCGACACTTTACACTTTGATAGATGCTCCACAGTTGCTGTCCCACGGGTGGTCACTTTGAGCAGCTGTGACTGAAACACCCCCTTCATACATACTGTGGTTAACAAGAGTTGAAAAAAGTGACCTCATCATTTGCATTTCTGGTCACCGGTAAGGTTAAAATCTTTTGAATGTTTACTGTCCGTGTATAATAGTCTTCTGTGAATTGCCTTTTGAAATCCCTTGCTTGTTTTTCCACTGAAAATTCTTACTGATGGAACTTGTGTGTATGAGAAATATTTATCCCTCTGTCTCTCATTTGTCTTTGAACTTTGTTATGGTGTCCTCTGCTTTTTTATGTAAACATGCCATTCTGCCTTTTCCCTGAGTCTTATTAAAAATGTTCTGTAGGATTTTTGTAGCTGCTGTTTTTATTTTTCATTCATTTAGAGTCTGTGTTTTGCTGTGGTGTGAGGCAGAGCCTGACTCTTCTTCATAGGTTGAAAAGAAAAAGAGTCCCAGTACCGCTTATTGAATAATCTATCATCTTCCCACTGAAGCAGAAATAGAGCATATGAGACCTTTTCTTTATGAAAGCTGGTTTGGTCATTTACTTTTATAAATCACAATGGAACTTACTCAGACCATGACTTTGCTGTCACAGTGTAGTAAGATCCTAAGTTTTAGTCTTAAGTATGCAAAAATTAATTCTGGAATTCTATTTTAAAGGCTGATGTGTTGTATTCTGCTTGGCACTTGCCCTGGTTTACCTTGTGATGCCAGGTTTTAATGAGCTACTCCATGGTACTCACCGTAATTTTTTAATGTCAACCTTATTTTCCCCCTGTCAGCCTGTAGGCCTTCTAGGCTTCCTCTTCTTATAAACTAATTTGTGTGTAGCAGCCTCAAATTAATTTAAATACCTGTGTGAACTCACTTTGAAAGCGTTACACAATAGCTTCTCAGATCCAGTTTGCTTTGCGTTACCCTGCACTTTGGTCGTAAGGTGGATGACCAAGGCTCAGCTTGGGGGTGGGGGGTGTTCTGGAAACACTGCCAGTGCAGCCGTCCTGGCGTGCCCCCAACTGAGATTGACTCACACGTGTACATGGAAAAGTCAACACGTGGGGTTTAAAAGAGGGATTAATTTTACACTTTATTTCTTCCTGGGGAGAAAAACCTTAATGTTCTCTTCATTAAAGGCAAGAAGGTTTTTATTGCTGACAGCGACTTGTTTTGGTTAAATTTAGTAGCTTGTTCCTGTTTCTCGGTGTTTTTCTCAAGTGCTGCCTTTGTTTCCCTTACACTCCAGTTCCCGTTTTCCCTCTGCTTCTCAGCCCTTGGGAGCCTCGCCTCGCACGCTACCTGCTGGCCTGGCCACCTCTGGGCCTGCCTCGGCCTCCTCAGCTCTCTGCCCTGCCCCTGCGACCCCAGCCTGGGCGCCACTCCGCTCCCAGGTCTGTGCCTTGTGCTCCACGGCTAGAGACTAACCATTTTCACTCTGCTCCACAGCTTTGACAACTATTCTGCCAATGTTATGGTGGATGGAAAACCAGTGAATCTGGGCTTGTGGGATACAGCTGGACAAGAAGATTATGACCGATTACGTCCCCTATCCTATCCGCAAACGGTAAGGAGCATGACTGATTTTTAGTTTGTCCTTTACAATTCCTGATTATTTAATTAATTCATATCACCTCTGGATTTGCTTATTGCCATCTTTTGGGTATATCGAGTAATAACAAATAACATTAAATTAGTTCAGTAGTGAATATCCGCCTAGATGCAAACCAGGGTTTTGCTTGTTTTTATTTTTTGAGCATTACCAGTTATTAACTGTGGCGCTGTGCGTTTTACATTCTTCCATGTAGTTTTAGGACAGCCGTCTGAAATAGGTATTGTTTTGTTTTGGCTAAATAGTTTTAAGAGCAGTTAGTTTCTAGATGAGTTTGCTTTGTGACAGTTTTGTACCACAGAATCAAATTAAGCAGTGGAGATTAAGGTTTCTTTTTTTTTTTCCTTTTGAATTTGTTTTCCTCTTTTGTTTTTATTTTTTAACATCTTTATTGGGGTATAATTGCTTTACAGTGGTGTGTTAGTTTCTGCTTTATAACAAAGTGAATCCGTTATACATATACATATGTTCGCATATCTCTTTCCTCTTGCGTCTCCCTCCCTCCCATCCTCCCTATGCCACCCCTCCAGGCGGTCACAAAGCACCAAGCTGATCTCCCTGTGCTATGCGGCTGCTTCCCACTAGCTATCTACCTTACGTTTAGTAGTGTATATATGTCCATGCCTGTCTCTCGCTTTGTCACAGCTCACCCTTCCCCCTCCCCATATCCTCAGGTCTGTTCTCTGGCAGGTCTGTGTCTTCATTCCTGTCTTAACCCTAGGTTCTTCATGACATTTTTTTTTCCCTTAAATTCCATAGCTTGTCTCTTTACCAGAGCTAATTATATGGAGCTGTAGCTGGTGGACACATGGTCAGAAGCCACTTTTCTCTCAATAAGCAGTTGTCTTACTTGTATCATTTGCTTCTTGTTACATGTCTGTTCTTTGTGTTAAAAGTGCTTTTTAAAACAGCTTTGGAGAGTTAGTGACTAACTGGCCAGGGCAGTTTGCGCAGAGGCAGTTGAGCGAATTCCTTGGGTTCAAATTCCGCCCTCCCCTTCCTCGCCCTGTGACCGGGCAGGTTTCTTCACCTCTAGGCCTGCCCCGTTGATCGCAGGGCTGGATGAGTATAGATGTAGAGCTAGAGCGTGTACAACAGCCCCGGGCGTGTCGCTGCTGTTGGGACTCCTCCTTGTGTTTGTATAGCTGTGCTGGTAGATGTGGGGAGGCCCTCGGTTCCAAGCTGCATCCAGAGGAGAGGAAGATGCAGGACTCGCTGTCAGCGAGCCGGGCAGCCAGAGGGGTTGGGGTCAGGGAAACATCCCGGAGAAGACAGGCCTCCGCCCTTGCACTGATTTAATTATCACTTTGTTCTGGGGGGGGGGGGGGGGTGAGTGAAAAGAAGAAATTAGTTTTAGTCTACCCAAATCTTGTTTTTTTGCT